AATTCTCCTCTTGCTTAAAACTGTATTCCCAAAGTGATCTGAGATGTTTTTCGAAGGCATCACTGACTAGCTCTCTATAACCTAACATAACAATCAAATTCCCAAGGCATTCCAAGGTAAGCCCAACTCTCCAGCCTTAACCCTCAATACCTTCCCACCTAGACCTCTATTCATAGGAGGGAGAAAACAGGCATTAAAATTTAAAAGAATCAGTAACATTTTAAGCCAATAACAAAGTAAACCTTTCCGACTTAGGAGTCTTTTTAAAAAAATTGTCATATTTGCTGCATGGCCAAGTTTGCATGCGGCACGCATTGATCAGCTATTCGTTATGTAAAGAAGCATAATCAAATGCATGCAGTGTGGGGGCCCAGCCAAGCCCCGCCCGCTGGCTGGGGTGGCCCACGCTCCGGCTGCCCACTGGGGAAGTCACAGCATCTGGGGACCAGGAAACAGGCTCTCGCCCCCAGAGGGAAGCTGCTTTCATGTCTTTAAAGAACCAGAACTGTGATGTTATCATTTAACCTGCCTCTGACTTAGATGGGACTTAAACATTTTAAAGAATTATAATTGTACAAAACACAGTTACGCACAGCTGGGAGTCATTCTTTAGGGGGCGCCGTGGAATCATGCTGCTGAGTTTTCCCCGTGAAATGCCTCCTGAGCCAGACGCTGATGCGTCTCTCCTCCCAGGGACCGCACCTTGAGGAAGACGGCCACAAAGAGCGCCTGCTCCATGCCTGTCAGTGTGAGTAGGAAAAGAACCCCAACCCCTGTCTTAGGGATCAGTGACAGCGGCGCTGAAATGTACAATGGGCTGGTGCGTGACCCTGAAGCGGCACTGCCCAATACAGTGGCCACTCGCCACACGTGGCTCTCCAGCTCTTGAAGTGCCCCGTTCAAGTTGAGATGAGCCGTAGCAGTAAAATGTGCACAACCTCGAGGGCCTGGTGTGCGGAAGAGCATGCAAAGCGTCTCACTAATACCCTTTTATACTGATCATAGAAAACAACGCTATTTGGATATATTAGATTAAATAATGTAGTTTTACCCTAATTATTTTCACCTATTTCTTATATGTTTTTATTGATTTGAGAGAGAGGGAGCAAGGGAGAGGAAGGAAGAGAGAAACACCAATAAGAGACCCACTGTTTGGCTGCCTCCTGCACACTCCCTAGTGTGGATAGAGCCTGAACCCTGGGCATGTACCTGGACCAGGAATTGAACCAGGGACTTCTCAGTGCATGGGAGGACACCCAGTCAACTGAGCCACACCAGCCAGGACTCTTTTTCCTGTTTTTAATTAGCTGTTAGAGATTTAAAACTGACACATGGAGCTCACGTTACATTTCTATTGGACAGTGCTGCTCAAATATTATTCTTTTAAAATAAACAAGTGATCAACATCTCTGAATTATTTATTCATCTTTAATGATTGTTTGCCTTTCTGTAATAAAAACAGGACCCAGGCTCCTACTGGCAGAGGGAGGGGGTGGTGGGAAGCAGTGGAGTCCAATTATTTCTACACCTGATGGTTTAAATTGTGAACAGGCACAGGGAGGAAAAAAGATGTTGAATCAAATGTAAATGCAAACCCATTCTGAGAGGTGACCTACGGCACGGGTGCCACCGACACTGAATGACAGCTCTTGGAGCATTCTGGAACATTCCCAGGTACACAGCCTCTGGCACAGAGCCGAAGTCCATCGAGCGCAGCAGTACGGCAGGTCCCCCTGAGGTCTCGGTGGTTAAACATTGTCTAGTTTGCTGCCCGAAAGGATTTACGTGAAAGAACATGTATGAATGGCCCCAGGACTCTTTGCAGGTGGTCCCTGCAAATGTGGGAATGTCACACATTTAGTATTTCACTTCATAACTATCCAACTGCTCCAGGAAGCATATCCTTCGAAAATGGCAGTGCCATAAATTATTAATTATTTAAAAAATTCATATGAATGACCCAAAGTCTAAGTTCACAATGCAATTCTGAAAGGTGACACATTCGAATTTGATGCAATTGTGTACTTATAATCCTATATAATAAAAGGGTAATATGTAAATTGACTGTCACTCCGTCACAAAGATGGTGGCGCCCAGTCCTCTCAGCCCTGCCGGAGTCCCCCAGTCCCAGGGGGGCAGCTGCTGATAGCGGGCAGCGTGAGCGACCTGGTGGAATGCTTGCTTCCTCACCGCAGCAACGAGGCAAGCGTTCTGCCCCCAGCCATGGATGGGCCTCTAGTCCGCGGAGAGCCTCTGGGCAGCGGGCATGGAGCGGCCAGGCCCTGCAGAGAGCTACTGGCACACAGATTCATGCGCAGGGCTACTAGTAAAAGGATATAAACACAATAATTAGAAATTGATGAATCTTGAATGCCATGAAGTCAACACAAATAAGTGTGGAGAGTTCTCTTTAAAACACACACACATGTACACATACATGTACCCTGAGCCAAATTTATGTCATAGAACACCCACTTCCCTAAGTTACAATTACGACAGCATCGGCCCCTGGTATCAGCAGCAGCACAGGAGGGAGGCCTGGTGGCTCAGAGGCTTCCTGTCTTAGCTGCTAACTTCCCCCACATTTTTGTAGGTATTAGGAAAGGGGGTTGCAGTATATGTGCATTTAAATTAGAGAAATTCACCCACAGGCACGTGGCAGGAAGGAAGAGCTGCTTTTAAAAACAACAGACAGGAACCCCACCACTCCATCCCATTCGATGAAACGTTGCCCCAGCGTAGCAAGGGAGAGAAGACTTGTCTTTTTAAAACTGGTTTCAGAGCCCAAGTCTTTCATGTAGCTCTGGTCTCCCAGGTGACCGAAGGCATCGTGAAAAATACTTTTGTCTGTACCTAACCTTGGCTTCTGTGTGGACTGTAGACAGCAAATCCCTGGCTAGAGGACTTGGTGGTGTGCTGACGGCACCATGTGCTCCATTAGGCCGTAATGTCAGTTACACTGGTCCCAGTACGTTCCTGGCTCCTTCCTTCCGACCACCGCCTATGCCTGTGCTTTGGAAAGATCGCTTGGCTGCTGTGTCACAAAGACAGACCTTAGCCAGAAGGCAGGAACAACAGTTACTTGGTGACCTGAATCACTAACATGATGGAAAAGGATAGAAGTGGACAGAGGTTTCCCGGGAAAGGTGCCGGGATGGCTGCTTCATGGAGGTTGCTTCGGTTGCTAACAGGGGTCCACAAATTACACAGCATCAGTATTCTCCAACATGGCATTCTCTCCCAATGCACACCTTTTAATGTTGACTAAGATAAGCTTAGAGCCACCTTTTTACTCCCCCTCCTTCGGCAGTTTCCCATTGGTTACAGAGTGCAGCCCCAGGCGCTGTGCATGCAGTTAAACATCTGCTCGGGAACTGCTGGGCTTCTGGAGTTTCAGTAACAGTGATACCCATCTTGTCTAATCTCTCACTTAATTTCAAATGTGAGACAGGAGACTTGTCTATAGGTGCACAGTATATACAGACCAAGGAAGAAGTGTAGGGAACACCATTGAAATGTGGAGTCACAGTTCTCCACTGTGCATACAGGATATTGCTTGTAGCTCAGGTAATTTTCTAATTTTGAATGCAAAGGTAGGGAGTTTCTGAAATTCAAACTATACAATTCCCAGAAGGATCCCATAAGACAAACATGATCTCATTGTATCCAGCAAGTGATAGATATGACATCACTGCATTTTTAAACCCTGCAAAACAAACAGTGCCGTATGGCTCATTTTTCTTTTTGCCAACAGCAAACTAACAACAATCTGGCGCCTTCTAATAAACTGCTGCTGGCTCTGGGAGTACTCGAGGCCGCATTTTCTTTATCCCCATTGCTACTGGTTTGCTAATAATTTCTTTAGCCTCAGAGTTATAACTAGAAGACACTTACTACTTTGCATAATCAAACTGCAATTGCTATTTGGGTGAAATCCAACCAATTTAAGTATCCATACTTTAAAAAAACCCACCACAAAAAATAAAACAACAGAAAAACCCAATATCTGGCAAAAGAGAATAACAAACACCATGCTCTAATGAACAGGTAGTCTAATAAGGTTTGCCTAACGTCTGAGTTATTTTCTTTGGGAGGTTGGAGAGCAAGTGATATGAAAAATATCGATCTGTTTAAAGGCATCACGGTGTGTAAATGGCAACAAATGAAGGCTCTTCCATAACACGAATGACGGGAACAAGGATAAAAAACTCACTTGGGGTTAGAAACGTAACCGAGCCTTGGGCCTCTGGTTACACGTGTGCTCCTGGGTGATCACCCCACATTTCTGAGTCTGTTTACTCATTTGTAAACTGGAATTACAATACCTTACTATCATAAACACATCAGCTTTCTGATGCCCCCCAAATCCAGGTGAGATAAACGATAAGCAGGAAAATAAGCAAAGGTCTCGGCCTGTGTTCCTCTCCATGCCACTGTCATCCTGCCACAATGTTGGTCCAAAGGCACCAATGGGGCTTAAGTAAAATTATAATGTGACCAAAGCGTTTGGTGTTTCAGATCAAACCTCAGGCCCAGTTCCAAGGTAGATCTGAGTTTAAAGAGTTACCCTGAGATAAACCGCACCAAACCTTTTCTGTAACGCATCACACATAAATATTTTAGGCTTTGTGGGCCACCTCTGATTTATGTCACACATGCTTCATTTTTTCAACCCTTTAAAAAACATAAAACCACCCTTACCTCGAAGGCCACACACAAAAAAGGCCAGGGGCAGACCTGGCCCGCGGCCGACCCGAGACCAGCGTGCTTACTGTTAAGCTATGCTCAGTCTACATCTCATGTCTTCAATGGCCCCCTCCCTTTTTTCTCTTTATTATTCATTCACCAAAAATCTAATGAAATTTTCTTTTCTAGCACTACAGGAGTTCTGAAAAGCTCTATTCACACAAGCACCAGAAGGAAGTTCTTGGAGAAAACCTTTCCTAGGTTTCTCTACTTCACACCGCGCTCCTAGCAGATGGAGGGCCCGCGGGCCTTACCTGGCCGGGGGAACGTCGATGCTGGAGGAGACCACTTTTCGCTTCTGCTCAAGGAGACAGATGGAGCGGGCGTTTTCCCTGTCATGGTCCGGGCCTCGGGTGGCTGGCCTGGTGTCGGCGGTTTTCACGTCTTCCTCCATGGCCAAGGGGAACCAGGGCTGATGAGACAGTTTTTTACTCAAGTCCCGTTTTAGGTCCTCGGGGTGAAACGTGAAGGTCATGTCTCGCTTAATGCTCCCCACCTGTGAAATGAACACAAATTCTCACTCACACACCTGTGAGTTCTGCAGGACCACGTGCAGGCGGCCGCCAGCACAGACCGCAGACGCCACCCTCCCTGGTCATCTTGAAGGTTGTGTAGTTTAAATGGGAAAAATGCAACATACAGATAAAATACCTGACACCACAGAGTAATATACGATTAATGCATCTTCTGTCCTCTGCAGACAAAAGCATAAAACACAAGAGAAGCCTTTCGGGAGAACAGAAACTTCGGAGGCTTGAAAGCATAAGACTTGTAAAAAAAATCCAAAAATTTAAAACATCATTGCTTTCTACAGCTGCGAAAACTCAATTAAATCAATAAATTCCTTTATTTATTTTAAGCCTTTATTGTTAGAGTATTATAGATACACCTCTTCTATTGCCCCTCTCCACTTGGTTCCTGCCCTGCCTCAGGCATTCACAACCCTACTGTCTATGTCCACAGGTAATGCATATGTGCATATAGGTTCTTTGGTTAATTCCTCCCACCTCCCACCCCCTTCCCTCTGAGATTGGTCAGTCTGTTCCATGTTTCCATGCCTCTGGTTCTACTTTATTCATCAGTTTACATTGTTCATTAGATTCCTTGTTCGTTTATTTTGATTTTTAGATTCAATAGTTGATAGATACACATTTATTGCCATTCTATTGTTCATATTTTTTACCTTTTGTTTCGTCTTCACCTTCTCCTTCTCCTTCTTTTTCAATACCCTTTAACATTTCATGTAATACTGGTTTGGAATGATGCACTCCTTTAGCTTTTTCTTGTCTGTGAAGCTCTTTATCTGACTTTCAATTCTAAATGATGGCTTTGCTAATCTTGGTTGTAGGTTCTTGCTTTTCATCACTTTGTATATTTCTTGCCACTCCCTTCTGGCCTGCAAAGTTTCTGTTGAAAAATCAGCTGACAGTCATATGGGTGCTCCCTTGTAGGTAACTAACTGCTTTTCTCTTGCTGCTTTTAAGATTCTGTCTTTGTCTTTAACCCTTGGCATTTTAGTTATGACGTGTCTTGGTGTGGGCTTCTTTGGTTTCCTCTTGTTTGGGACTCTCTGCACTTCCTGGGCTTGTAAGTCTATTTCTTTCACCAGGTAGGGGAAGTTTTCCGTCATTATTTTTTCAAATAGATTTTCACTATCTTGTTCCCTCTCTTCTCCTTCTGGTACCCCCATGATGTGAATGTTGTTACTTGAAACTGCCCCAGAGGCTCCTTACACTATCTTCATATTGTTTTATTCTTTTTCTTTTTGCTCTTCTGATTGGGTGTTTTTTGCTTCCTTATATTTCATTCTCAGCATCCTTTACTCTACTGTTGATGCCCTGTAAATTACTCTTTATTTCAATTAGTGCATGCTTAATTTCTGACAGGTCCTTTTTTATGTTGTTGATATTCTTATGAATTTCCTTGAAATTCTAAGTTCCTTGAAGTTCTCACTAAGTTCCTTGAGAACCCTTATAACCACTGTTTGAGCTCTGTATCTGGTAGTTTTCTTGCTTCCATTTCACTTAGTTCTTTTTCTGTTCTTTCATTTGTGACATGTTTCTTTGTCTTCGCATTTTGACTACTTCCCTGTGTTTGTTTCTATGTATTAGGTAGAGCTGCTATATCTCCTGGAATTGGTAGAGTGGCCTTGTGTAGTAGGTGTTCTGTAGGGCCCAGTGGCTCAGCCTCCCCAGTCACCTGAACTGGGCACTCCAGGTGCACCCCTGTGTGAGCTGTGTGCACAGTTCTATTGTAGTTGAGCCCTGATTAATGTTGGCATCACTGGGAGGGATTGACACACAGGCTAACTGGTTGTGAGGACCAGCTGCAATTACATCTGAAAAGCTGCTGTGCAGGAGACACTCCTATGGAGCAAGTGGCCTTGTGTAGTAGGTGTCCTGTAGGGCCCAGTGGCTCAGCCTCCCCAGTCACCTGAACTGGGCACTCCAGGTGCACCCCTGTGTGAGCTGTGTGCACAGTTCTATTGTAGTTGAGCCTTGATTAATGTTGGCATCACTGGGAGGGATTGACACCCAGGCTAATTGGTTGTGAGGACCAGCTGCAATTACAGCTGAAAAGCTGCTGTGCAGGAGACACTCCTATGGAGCAGGACTTGCTTCAGTGGGGCTTTGGTGCTCACTGTGTCTTCCCCTTGAGTATGTCACTCATGGATGTGTAGAGTTGTAATCGGGCGTGGTGTGAAGCTATCCACTAGGTGCACTGGCTCTGGGGCCTCCTGGGAGGTACAAAGTCAGCCTATGCCTATGCCCTGCCCAGAGCAACCCAGCATGAGCTACAAAGCAATCTGCAAATGGCTGCTATTTGTGTCGAGCTTGGTGGTGCCCAGGAGAGGCCAAGCTGTGAACCAGGGTGGGCTGCAGCTAGTGCCGGGCCTGGGGCCACTTATTGAGAGGTACAGGGTAGCACCCAGCATGAGCTACAAAGCAATCTGCAAATGGCTGCTATTTGTGTCGAGCTTGGTGGTGCCCAGGAGAGGCCAAGCTGTGAACCAGGGTGGGCTGCAGCTAGTGCCGGGCCTGGGGCCACTTATTGAGAGGTACAGGACATCCTGAGGCCAGCTGCTGCTTCTTTGAGAGATTTTAGGAAAGTCTAAAGGATGATACAAGAGAGGCCAGTTGAATGGAAAAGCCACTGGAAATTGCTTGGATGAGCCTGCAAGCAGGGAAGGGTGGGGTCTCAGGGAATCACCAGGGCAAGGATAAAAGTGTGAGCCAGATTGATGGAGATTCAGATATGGTGCAGCCTGTCAGCTCTGTGGCAGGGAGGGCTCAGCAAAGGAACAGTGGCCTCTGCCAGGCCTCTGTCTTGAGGAAAGCTGCCCCTCCAGCTCTTGCCCTGATTCCAGGCAAGTTAGTTCCTCCCTGATTATCCCAGGTTCTGAGTAAGTCCATGCACAGGCCCTTTAAGAGAACTGCCTGGGACTTCCACAGCCTCCGTGTCACTCAGTCAAAATCCCTGCTGGTTTTTACAGCCCAAAGTTACGAAGACTTCTCTTCCCAGCACTGGAAACCTGGGTTGGGGGCCTGGTGTGAGGCAGGGACCCCTGTTCCTCCGTTCCTCCCTGATTATCCCAGGTTCTGAGTAAGTCCATGCACAGGCCCTTTAAGAGAACTGCCTGGGACTTCCACAGCCTCCGTGTCACTCAGTCAAAATCCCTGCTGGTTTTTACAGCCCAAAGTTACGGGGACTTCTCTTCCCAGCACTGGAAACCTGGGTTGGAGGCCTGGTGTGAGGCAGGGACCCCTGTTCCTCTGGGGGGCCTCCACAGCCTAGATATCCCTCCCGATTAAACAAACACTGCACGTGGGTGTCAGTCCAGCCGGTTCTTCGATTCCACCCGTGTCTCTGCCCCTCCTACTAGTCGCCGTGAGCTTCTTCTCTAATTCCCTAGTTGTAGGACTTCTGTTCAGCTAGATTTCAGGTGGTTTTGAATGACGGTTGTTCTGTATTTAGTTGTAAATTTTGATGTGGTTGTGGGAGGTGGCGAGTATTGTGTTTACCTACACAGCCAGCGCATCCGGAAGCCTCTAAAATTTTCAAAGTCAATAAATTCTTAAATATTTCATGCTGATTATGTTCACAGAAGACAGTGATGACTAAAAACACCAAGGCTACCCTTGACTGTGAATACTGATCTTCACCTACTCTTTCGCTCATGAAGACTTGGATTTTATCCTTTATTTGCAGCAGTTCATATCTTAAGGAAATCCCTCCATTGATATGACAATAAAAAAGACATAAGCCTTCCTTATTGTTGACTAAATACAACGATGCTTAAGGCGTAAGACAAATACGAAATGAAACCGCAGGGAATTGAATCTGGCGATTTCAGAATCCGGGAAGACTGAGAAGGAGACTGACGTTACAGAAAGGTTTGGGCGAGGTGATGGGGATTGGAGCGAACCTGGTCCAGTCTTAAGTGCACGAAGAGAGCCGGTGCCCTGGGCCCTCACTCTCAGGGATTTCAAAACACGCCTGTAAGACATGTCACAGGTCCACACCACAGTGCATCCCTCAGCACTTTGTTTCGGGGGTGAGTAAATCTTTGCCCACCCACTCGTGTAGAAGCTCTGCTTGTTTGTTTCTTCTTAATTTCAGGTAGGGGGAAAAGCACAAAGAAGGTGATCAAATAGAGTTAGAACTTTAAAAGCTAAAGCCACAAACAAAGAATTTTTCAGAATAACATGAGACTAGGATGCATGTTCAGTGAAAGTGGAGACTTGGCAAAGCATGATATCAGTGGCCAGAAACTCTCAGACTGAAGGGAAGCTCGGCGGTATGTGTGTGCTGGAGTCACAGGGCCTGCCCACAGAGGAGGGCCGCCAACGCCCGGGGAGGACCTGCGCTGTCGCGGGGACTGGGCCCGGCTCGCCGGCTGCATGTCAGGCAGGAGGGCCTCCCTGTGCTCCTGGAGGCCGAGCCAGCTCCACAGGAGAACCGTCAGTCACGCCTGCCCACTTGTAACTAACCAGTGACCACGTTTCTCAGAGCGCTTTAATAATATAAAAGGCCAAGAAAAATGAGTGTCTTTAAGAGCTAACTGTTTTAATGACACCAATACATTATACAGAGGAGTAAGAAAATATTTCAAACTTCCAATAATGCAATCAGTGTTCAATAACAATGTAGTCTATTTATTATTATTATTTTTTAATACTCACCTGAGGATATTTTTCCATTGATTTTTAGGGAGAGTGGAAGAGAGAGGGAAAGACAGCAGAAATATCAATGTAAGAGAAACATGAGCCCCGACCATGGCCCGGGCCGGGGAGGAGCCTGCAAGCAAGGTACGTGCCCTTGACTGGAATCGAACCTGGGACCCTTCGGTCCGCAGGCCAACACTGTATCCACTGAGCCAAACCGGCTAGGGCAACAACAATGCAGTTTAGAAAATTGACAAATGCAATTGCAAATGTTTTAAATATCCATCTCTAATCACTTTCTGCACCATGTTTCTTGCCTGGAGGCGAGCGTGAGAGCGGGAGCTGGCTCACTCCCAGAGCAGCTCAGTCCCAACCAATGTTACGGCGGAAACATGCTACACACCAGGCATAAAAGAGGAAAGCAAAGCCTGGTTCTGATGTTACCAACAATCTCTCCCTAAGTGCCAAGTACATTAATTAAATATTTAAGGAGTCATTAATATTCATCTGTAGCAATAATTGACATCCATGCCTCCCTGGGGGCCAACAGAGCTGGTGGAATGATCAGTCCAAAGAGAGGTGGGAGGGGAGAACATTACAGCAAGCTCAGCTGCTAGCTCACAAGCGGAGGGACAAACCCAAGCATCTACAGCCAATTAATGGAGAAGTGATGCTATAACTGTATGTCACACTCTTAGCCAAGACTTCATAATAAAATACATTATAGTAATATTCAACAATGTAAGCTATTAATCTTCTATAGTGCATTCCAAACAAAAAACCCATGTCTCTGTAGTAATTAGGGAATTTTCACAATGCAATGGCTTCAAAGACTATTCAGCCCAGACACCTTGTCTAAAAGTGGAGTCAAAATGAGTTAGAAATGACCAAAGAAAACAAAAATGCAGAGCGAGGAAGAGATTATGGAGACATTGAGTCCTAGGCTCCATGGTTTGTAAGGTGTGAGGACATGGGAATGTTCATTGTGTCACTGTGCTTTAGTTTACACAGACAGTGATGCCATCTTTAATGTCCTTCTTTTCATATCCGATATTATATTTCAAAGATTTTGTAGAAGGAGAGTTCACAGGAGAGCAGCGTGGAGAGAGGACGTGAGGTAAAATCTTGAGACGTTGGGCTCAGAAGTGGCCCGAGGAATTGGGAGGTGGCTGGAGAGGATGCGGGACAGGGAGCTCTCACGGAGATGACACAGGAACCGTGGGCCAGCAGCTCCCCTCCTGGTGGCTCCCCAAGGAGACGCAAGCACATGCCCATACAAATCCTGTAAGGACTGCTCACATGGCCACGCAGAGTCGTGTGAGGACTGCTCACACGGCGCTGGTCAAAGCCAGGAAGTGGGAAAACACTCCCATGTTTATCAATGAAAATGGGTGCGTGCGCTCTGCTGCCTGCACAGTGGGCCGCTGTTCAGGAGTGAGATCCCGGCCCCGGGCCGCATGGATGGACCTGAGGGCATCGTGATCCACACTGCGTTACTGATCTGTAGAAAGTGGTCAAATAGGTCAACCCGAGGAAGAAAGAGTGCATTTGGGTTTGCCTAGCACTTAGGACTACGGGAGTCTGACTGTCTCCTCAGGAGTAAAGTATTTCTTGGGAGGAGAGAGGAGGACGTAATGCTTCTAGTCTGGAATTGGTGCTGCTGCACAATTCTGTGAACATACTAAAAACTCCGAATTCACACCTTAAAGCGGGACTTGTAATGGGCATCGGTTACATCTCAATAGAGCTGTTACAGTAAAAACAGGCGGGGTATGTGTGTGTGGGGGGGAGAGGGTGTCTGAATGCCGCTGCCTGGCTATATCCTCCCCCCACCACACCCCCGCTCCTTCCCACCCCGCTCCCTCGTGGGCTGGGCTGACATCCAGTCCATCCAGGGGCAGGGACACTTCGAATTCCCCCAACGGAGAGAACGGGTCCTTCCTTGCCCAGAGGGGGCCCCAGCGTTCACGGCCCTGGTGGCGGGGACACTGCCTGGGGACGGCTGTGGCTGCCAGTGAGGGAGGGCTCCTTAGGACCAGCTGCCTTGGTGTTCCTGGAACAGTGGGGGCACCTGGGAATGCTGCTCCCAAGGAGGCCGGGGCTCAGCCAGAGAACCAGCCAGGAGGAACGGAAACCCGACAGCATGGAGGGGCTCGACAGCAGCGACATCCATGCAGGGACGCGCAAAAGGAGAGCGACAGGCCCGCCAAGCGAAGTGAGGACGCTCCGTCCCTGGGGACACAGCTCCGAGGAAGGGTGGCGTCCCTGGGCTGTGGACCCTGCAGAAGTGCCCTGAGCGAGCAGCACAGGCCAGAGGGCCCTGCCAGGTGGCGGCAGAGCGGGTGCGGCTCTCCCCAGGTGCGCTCCTCTGCCCGTCCATCCGCCTGGAGCAGAGGCTCCCTGCCCCCCGATTCACTGACCCTCAGCAGGGAGTGCACCCCAGGACCCCAGTCCACCAGGGGAGGGAGACAGGCGTCCGGGCAGGCGTCGGGCTTCGTCTCCGCGCCCAGAGCTTCGGAAGGCGAAGGAGATGGCAGGCTGGTGCCAACAGTCACAGAGACACACCCGGCTCTGCCGGGAGCACGGACCTGGCAAGGCCACCTGGTCTCCGGAGGCCAAGAACGTCCTGTCGGGAGCGTCGCCGACTGGACGTGCGGCTTCACCTGACCTGCGAGGAGGCGGGAGGGAACCGCCAGAGCAAAGGCCCACCTCGGAGCCTGACAAATACCAAGGAAAACAGGAGAAAAGGCAAGGCGGAGGGTTAGGAGGAATCTCAGTCGGAATTTTAGAAATTATATCTCGTGGGCAAGGAAGGAATCCCTGACTGTACCCCGGCGAGGCTGGGGCTGGGTTCTGGCCGCCTCGTTTCGGGTGGACGCTGGCAGATGGGAACTCGGACCCGTCGGGCGGCCAAGAACCCCTGGGGAGGAGCTGGGGATGTGTGTGTGGGAGACAGGCTTCTGGTCCACGTGGCTCGTCTTCACTACATGGCGCTCTCCCGAGGGAGGGGCTGGAGTCCTGGGACCAGGGCCCGATCTCTCCTGGCCTCAGGGCTCCTCTCCTCCTCCTCTTCCCCCCTCAATCTCCCTCCACATTGCAGTGAGGTATTTAGTTCCTATAAGAAATATTACTTTCTACTTAACTGTTCCCACGGACTCATAAGCTGGTAAGCGGGGGAGTCTCAGAGACTCCCAGTCTCACTTATACATTTTATTTTAACGATTTTTTTGTCGAGTTTAGACGTACTTTTCATTTTTTTAAAAAAAAAGTTTACTTATTAAAAAACACACACTTGTTAAAATTTCAATAAGAAAGTGTGTAAGATAAAAGAGGGAAAGCTGCCTGCTCCTCCCCACTGCACCCCGAACCTGCCAGACAGGTCCGGCCGGGAGAGAGCGCCTCCAGCTCACGCAGACCCCGAGGTCGCCTGAACCCACGGCACCGTCTGTGCTGCCGGTGCTTCGACACCCGTGTGATGGCGCGATATGTATTCCCCGCGACGTGTCTTTTCACTGCACAGTAAGCCATGGGCATCTTTTCATGTTAGAAGCAGATCTACATTTAAACATGTTGACGACGTAACATTTCACAAGATCATATTTATAAACCCATCTCTTCTCGACATCACTGAGATGCTTCCAATGTTTCATTATTAACAGTAATGCCGCAGCCTGACCCCATGGCTCCGTGGTTAGAGCGTCAGCCCACGCAGTGGAGGGTCTCGGGTTCGATTCTTGGTCAAGGGCATGTACCTGGGTTGCAGGTTTGATCCCTGGCCCTGGTTGGGGTGTGTGTGGGAGGCAACCAATCAATGTTTCTCTCTTTTCCCTTCCTTCCCTCCCTTCCTCCCTCCGTGTCTGTCTCTCGCTCTCTCTTCTACTCTCTCTAAAAATAAATGGAAAAAATATCCTTGGGTGAGGATTAGCAACAAACAAGAAATAACAATAATGCCACAGTGACCTTCCTTATGGGTGTATGCTTATACCTTTATGCCCTTAAGCAAACATTTTGTAGGAAAAGTTCCTGGAGGGTGGAAGTGCTGAATCAAACAACCAACGTTTTGTTCATGGGGAAACACAGTGCGAACGCCCCCCGATGGACAAGGCCTAAGCCACTAAAAGGGCATCGGACACAGCCATGCTGTGAGGAGGAACACATGCCCGTGATTTATTAGGAGAAACAGGCAAATGGCACTCGGATGTGTCAGGCTCGATTCCACTGCATGTAGAAGACCGTGCAGCCCGCCGGTGGCTGGTTGGTTGGGGCGTCGTCCTGTGCACCAAATAGGTTCCCGGTTCGATCCCCAGTCCTGTGCGTGCAGGAGGCGGCTGATCGATATTTTCTCTCACATCGATGTTTCTCTCTCTCTCCCCCAACCCCTTCCCCTCTCTCTAAAATCAATAAAGCATATCCTTGGGTGAAGATTACAAAAAAGAAGAAGAGAAGGCGGGTTGCTAAGGAGCTCCACCCCTTAGAGAGCAGAGGCCCGAGTGGGCCATGAGGGCGCCTTCCTTTCTCCTCTTGTATCGTTAGACCCCATGTCCACACAATGTTTAAGTGATGAAATCATGGGAAAATTTTACTTTCTTTAAGGTTTCCAAATTTTAAAAATTAAAATAAAGAGACAATTTTAAATTGACAATTGAGGTTCAGGAAAAGTATGAGGACTAATCTCTGAGCTGGTTGCCAGGTGAGGGTTCGGGCCTCTGTTGCTGGGAGTGAACCTCTGTGGGAGGCGGGGCCAGGGGAAGGGAGCCTATGTCAGTGTGTCCTGCACCCCTTTGTGCTGGCATCGAAGGGAATAAACTAAAAAGCACAAAAGGCATTGACCCTAGATTCCTTATAATATTAAAAAATGCATATTTCCTAAACAGCCATCAATAACTTTTGGGTTAAATATGCACCAATAAAATGTATGGTGAAAAACAAAGACATATTTCTATATTTATTGACACGGAAAAAACATTTAATACAGTAATTGAAAACAAGGAAACAGAAATGAGTCGATGTAACATGATCTCTGAGAGGAGGGATGTGTATCTATAAAGAGAGAAAAAAATCTGGAAAAACTTGCCAAAATGTTAAGAATGGTTTTCTTGGGAGCAGAATTATAGGCCAATTTAACTTCCTATTTTGTTTGTAATTCTTACAACGTTTGTGTATAGTTTTATGTTTCAAAACTTATGAAGTTATTCTATTATGAAAAATACACATCATTTTTTATGTAGTTAACTTTCTTAAGAACCTGATACCTCATACTTTTTATTCTACCAGCTTTCACTTATGTGTATATTAAAGGGGGAAATGAATTACTTACAACAATACATCCATTTACACTATGACTTTCCACGGATGATTGGCTCCCCTCAGCATGAAAAACCACAGTAGCTTCAACTGAAACCTCCTGCCACCCAACACAGGCGCCTTCGTCCACATCACACACACACTCGCTATCCACGTCCTTTCCTGCAGGAAAACAAAGCTTCATGTTCAATTATCTGAGAATACTACCAATTACTGAGTGAGCTGACACATAAAACTCAACGCTTTTACTCCAACGAACAGCTTTTGTTTTCCCAGGAGAAGATAAACAGCATATCTATGAACATGACATACTTGGGAAATTTGCAATATTTTAAACAAGAAGTTAATGGCATCTATTTAAATCTTGAATTTCTCTAAATGGTGTCCTTTGTAAAGATGCTACTTTCTAAGACGGTGACTGAGCTCACCAGCTTTTCTCAATACGAAACCATCTGGTTTCCCCAGGAGGACCCTACCTACGGGCGCCCCAGGAGGGTGGCTTCTCCCTCAGCCACTGGCTTGACCAATCCCTCCCTCTGTTACACTCAAGTGCATCCCAGGACACCAACACCCTCCCCGCGGATTTGCCCTCGTGAGATGCCAGCAAGCATGCGTCAACACTCACTCCTGGAAATTGTATTCACTCATCTCAATCCAATAAGATTTGAGGAGTTGGCCCTGGAGATTCACTGAACTTCCAGGAATCATCTGCAGAAAGCCAACCCATTTGCCTTTGGCGGCTTCTGAACAGCAAGAAATTCTGGAAGAGAGAATGAAATTCAGGCCACAGCAACAACCACCATTGGAGAGCAAGCGGTGGGAGGCAATGCTCGGAGAATCTTCCATTCGAAACCACATGGGCACACCAGACAAACTTTGTAAGAGAAATTTTCCTACTTCAGATAGCTTTTTCTCACATTAGCATTTATTTTAAAACTTGCTTTCAAAGCGCATAAATTCCATACTTAGTGACTGACGTGTGAACTGCAGTGTGGAAACGGAATCAGACCCACAGATGTTAAAACATGTCACAAAAGAAGCCAAGGTTATATGAATAATAGGAACTATTGGTTTTTTAATTAATTAAAAATACTACCACTCAGGGTCATGCTCAAAGAAAGATCAGACTCCTTCGTTGATTGATAAAACCGTGTTCAAAAATAGTCCACGGAACTCTACTCCTCACTTCAGATTAAATTCTCCATGTCATGCCAGGCACCCAGAAAAACCAGTGGGCTGGCCAACTCCCCAGTCCTGAGGCAGAAAGTAGAAACACTGCAAACACCGCTGCTTCCCATTGGTGGCCTCTTGACTCTATCATCCCCTTAGCCCTCGGAACCAACCCAGGGTTTCGCTGACTACTTCATCCACAAGCGTATGGCTTCTCTATACCAAGACAGAGTAGCTGGCGATGTGATGTTGGGGCAGCAAATAAAACACAGCACGTCGGAGTTGAGCCCCGTGTTGGGTTGGGGCATCATGCCCGCCCACCTTCCAACTTCCCCATCTCAGCCATGAGTTTTGTTGGGGCTGGGTTTACGACAGCACGTTTTAAATTAATGTCTTCACAAGTTACTACCCAACAGCGCATGACCTGGTTTGACTGATGCCGGTTACTCATCAGTTAGCACGGAGAGCGCCTGCAAAGCTCCTCGGTGGAAGGCAACTTGGCCGGGGCTCCAAGCCTTCTATTAACATTCTGCAAGTGAGAGCACGCACTCAGGTATTTTTAAAAAGCCTTTCTGACAAGTCCCGAGGGGAAATGTCCATTTCTGTAAAGTCAATAGTCAATTCAAGCTCAGCCACGTTCTTGTATATTTCTTCCAGCCAAACGTAAACAACAGGGAAAGTGAGTGTCGGGCCAGTGTTAATGGGTCTAACTTCAGTCTGGAGAATTCTGAACCTAGCACATTTGTTTTGTATAAATTGAAGTTTAACTTGACCAGTCACATCCAACCCCTGGGGAAATCCTGTGGACTTTACCTTCAAGAATAGATACAGAATCCAGTCCTGTCTCACCTCCGCCATCCACAGTGGACACCTGGTCCGGCCACCGTCAACCCTGGCTGCATCTGAACAAGCCTCCTCCCTGGACCCGTTTCCATCACTGCCCTACCTTCCCAGACCCAGTTCCTCTTTTTTTCTTTAATTTTTTTGAATCCTCATCTGAGGATATATTTGTATGGATTTTAGAGAGAGAGAGAGAGAGAGAGAGAGAGGGAGAGAGAAGAATCAATGTGAGAGAGAAACATTGATCGGTTGCCTCCTGTATGCACCCTAACCAGGGATTGAACCCACAACTTAGGCATGTGCCTGACCAGGAATCAAACCCTCAACCGTTTGGTGCATGGGATGATACCCCAACCATCTGAGCCACTGGGCTAGGGCCCCCCAGTTCCTCTTGATAACAGCAACCGGCCTGCCCTGGCGACACCAGGCTCAGCTCGTGTGCCTCCGCAGCACAGACCGCCCAGGGATTTTCAAATTCATCAGCAGCCACCACAGTCTCACAGCCTTTTGCTCACAGAGCAGATTAAGAAGCAGATTTTAAGTAGAAAAGCATATTGGTTGCCAAGGGTTCCTCCTTCAACATACATTTCATTTAAAATACAACTTATCATTCCTTTGAGCAGAAAACAAGTGAAATGAAAAACAAAACCTGAAAACGAATGAATTTGCACGTTAGCTTGGATTGTGATCCTAGTTTGCAGGGAGCCAATTAATTCCACTAGCAGCACAGATGACCAAATAAAATCTGTTAATAAATGCAGCTAGTGCATATCCAAGAAAGTAAGCAGGACATACTAGAATAAGTTTGTACATCTGCTTATCATAATTTTAATTATTTAAAATAAAGGTCCAACTGGTGTATAAGAGAGTAGGTGGCAATGTGAGGAAGAAAAACCTGCCGCTTCAACACACTCTTTCAGACGAAAGTAGACGGCTCAGCGGAAAACGGGGCCAACCCACGATAGATGAGTAAAAAGGTGCCCATGACCTTTCAACCCACTCAGCATCCTTCCATCCTGCTTACTGCCTGTGGGCGTCAGGCTTTTTTAGCCAGCCATAATAAACATACGTGTGTGTGTGTGTGTGTGTGTGTGTGTGTGTGCGCGTGTGTGTGTTAACACCCTTCTCCTAGTGGTCCTGGGCCTGCCAGAGCCCTGACACAACATAACACCTGTGTAAAGTATTTATGCTTTACCCACCTCTCTTCTCTGTGGCCCACAAGCTGCTTGCAGGCAGAGAATAATTTTGCTCAGTTTCATATCCCAGGCGCCTGATAGGTGCATACTTGGCACATACTGGGCACTTGATAAGTGATCACTTAATTAGCGTAGGAAGTGATGATAACGTAGCGATGGGGCCAGCCTGTAAGAGCCGAAGGGGAGAGGGTCTGTGAACCCCGAGATGGAGTGATGGCTGTTCTGTATTCACAGTACTCTTGAGTATACCGAGGCAACCGCAAGGACAGCCGTGGGAGTAATAATAATGGCTGTGAAGTACAAGTCACCGATTAAAATCTCTTCACACACGTTATTTCACTCCAATCCTCCTCCAGATCCTGAAAGGACAATCTTAAAAAAGACCCTTTCTGGACCTCTGACCCTGCTCCCCTTTTGCTGCTGTGGGAGTCAACTTATAAGGAAGACGTGTCTCCACTTCCCACCTATTCCCTCTTCTACTTCAAGTCAGAACCTCCCACCACCTCCCACCACTCGGAACCAGCGACAGGTCCCGAAAGCCAGACCTTCCTCACGGCTGCCGGCAGCACCAGAACCGTGGGCGTGGGTTTGCCAGCACGTGCTCTGCACATTGCTGCCCCTCACTGGCTTACTCGTGCCTCCGTCGCATGCCTTGTGGGTCAGGGGCTTGGCAGAACCTAAGTCACACGGGATTCTAGCTGCAAGCGATTTGGGACATTCTGGCCACAGCAGCACGGGAGACAATGCAGAAGGGATGGTGGAGGTGCTGGGAGGGAGTCTTTGCAGCCTCCTCTCTGCTACCCACAAAGATGTTTGTAATCTATAAACATCTCTCCACTTCTATGGCCGCCACCGTTTCTCACTTGGAATACCACAGCAGCTTCTGGTCTACTCTACCCACTTCCACCCTTAACTCCCAAGAATCCACACATTATTAGAGAATCAAATAAAAATGAAGAAGAATATTTTGTAACTTCAATAGACCATGTAAAAAGATTATTAGTAATAAACTATTGTTCTTAGATATAACTATTAAACCTTTGAAAACATCATTTAAGTTGTTGGCTACCTATGTGACATGCCTGGAAGGTGCCAGGAAGATGCCTGGTGCAGATATGAAACCCAATGCCTAGGAACGAAGCCAGAAAGTCGATCAACAGGGTTTAAGAATGCTTACATTTCTAAGCCAGCATTCCTGGTGAAACACTAAATATCCCCAAAAAAGGAGTCAAATAAAACTGGAATCAAATCCTAGCTCTGTCACTTGCTGGGGGTGAAGATCAAGGTCTGGTCCTCGTCTATGAACCAGGCATGACGGGTGGCAGAAGGGGCACCCAGTACCAAGTCTGCAACAGTGCTCTCACTACAGTGCCTGGTGCAGGTCACACGGGCAGTGAGCTGCGGCCCCTTCTCTTGGGCAAGACCTCACGGAGGGAGGGATAATGCTGGCGTGATGGTTAATGAAAGACAAACGCTGTAGCCATCTGACACGGGCTTAGTGCATACAGGGGACACTCACAGAAAGGGAGGTGCTGGTGGGGAGCGTGCGGCAGCCAGAGGCAGGGAAGGAGTTGCCTGGAGTGGGAAGGGGTCATCCAAGAAACAGAAATAGCAATAAAACCAGGAGGAGATCATGAAACCCGGCTCACTGTCTAACAGCTTTTGCCTGCCCTAGCCGGTTTGGCTCAGTGGGTAGAGCGTCAGCCTGTGGACTGAAGGGTCCGGGGTTCGATTCCAGCCAAGGGCACGTACCTCAGGTTGCAGGCTCCTGGCCCTAGTCGGGGGCATGCAGGAGGCAACCAATCGATGTGTCTCTCTCACATCAGTGTTTCTCTCTGTCTCTCCCTCTCCCTCTACTCTCT